AGGAAGTTCGTTGAGTCAAGATGGATAAAAACAGCAAAAAATTGGAGTTTACGGCAAAGTCTTGATGATCAGTAGATCGAAAAAACCTGATGACTCGCTACTGCCATCTTGTTTGTAGTGTATGTTTCTGCTCACGTAGTGGATTCCGTGCTCTGAAAAGCAAACAGTATTCGATGGACTGCTACAGAAGTAAAAGTTATTGACTAAAACTTCATTTATCTCACGGTATTCATTTCACTTTTGGATGAGAAACGCATTCAAGTAATTCAGGAGAATCCAACTATATAAACTAAGTAACAATGATAATAAATAGTCGCGATCATTACCATCACTAGACGATCAAAATCGCCACCATTACCACTGTTACACGTGTACATGAATGAACTGTTTAAACAAGAAAGAAATCAACGTTCATTCTGGCATTTTTCTTACCTCATGGCATCGTTGAAGCAGTGCATTCCGATTACGTATTCAAACTCCTCCGAATACGGATTCAGAAAAATCCAGGCTGACGAACGCAGGGAACACCAGTTGCCCGACTTGGTTTGGTATCGATACGTTATACATACCATCTGTTCCTTCACCTTCATAACTAAATTAAATTATTATTTAACTAGAGACTGCCAGATCTTATGTCCATAAGGTAAAACTGTGCAGAATAAAGAAGGAGATAAGGTAATCGACATATCTGCAGGGGATGGGTAATCGCGTGCTCTGATTATTATGGTATTATCCTACTGTTTACTTCTGAGATACTCTTGGACTACGTTGGAAAAGTTGAGGAAGGCAGCTGATAGAAGACGAAATCGAAATCAAACAAGCTTCGGGACGGCCTATTCATGCTCAGACCAAATCTGCACCCTTCATAATCGATCACGCAGATGATACGCAGATAATTCTCGTGGAGAATAGTAAGGCGAGTGGAATCTGCCAACTGACGGCTTCCGAAAGCAACATACTACGAAAGCTGGCATTTCCATAATGCACGGAAATCAAAATTAATGAGGAACCCATCAAAAACCTTGCCCATTAGTGGAACAAAGAGGGAAAGTCACAGAGTAAGACGGCCAATTTAAGTATCTTCAAGGCCGAATCATCTCCATCGGTGCGTCAAATCAGAATTAAATAAGAGGATCGCCCTTGCATCCAGTGTTTTTGGTAACCTGTTGAATATTTACACTGAGAAAGGGAATGCAGTTTCCACAAAACCTGTGTATTTTGCTTCTGTCAGGTACGTGTTGCTGCACGACATGAAAAAAACTGTTCTAACGAAAGAGAATAAACAATGGTTGAACTGCCTGCAGCTACGCTAGCTTCGAAGCATAAAGACAGTTGAATTACTAGACGACGAGTAAGTAACGACTCCGTTCTTTTTCCGGCGGAGGTAACCTCAACAGAACATGGAGAATCGGAAAGAGAATGAGAGGTAGCCCTGTCAGACAAACACATCGACCAGTATCCCCTGAGCATTTCGTGTAGGAGCTGAACCACGGCGCATCGGTCAAGAAGTCAGCATGCAACCTGGAGACACGAAGCGGAGGCAGATCTGCTTTAAAAGAGAAATATTTGCTTCAAAAAAACAGCAACCGGTGTCTCATAGCGAAAGTATAAGTTGTTAATACAAGAGGCATCACAAACGTGCTTGTTCTGCTTGTGGAAACGGCTGAAGGTGATGATCACATAGGCACTCAGCAGGCCTGCATTACGCAATGTCCGTGAGAGTGACAGTGGGTATGCTCCAGCACGCAACTGCACGCACCGCTATCATCTTTTGCTCCTCTGAGAAAAACAAGACATTGGAATCAAACAGGGCGGCATTCAATAGCCCCTCCCCACCCCCCAATATCTTCACGAATAGTGCTATAATGTCAAGAATCAACCATGTTATTGCTGTTTGAAAAATTCATAAAAAAACATTCTTAATACTTTATATTGAATTTAACAATGCCAAAAATGTAAAACTAAAAGTTTTGGAAAGATGTTAAACACGTACCACGATGAAAAGCTTCGCGAACAGCGTTCTGATCTTCGGGATGGACGTTTCGCCACCAGAACTGTCCAAGAAGTTCTTGAGGACGGTAGCCCAAGGTAGAAGAGATTCTGGACAAAGAGGCAAAGTTGTCGTTTCAAGCAACAGAAAATCAACGACTCACTTGTGATCGACGAACGTGAATTCCCCGTCTTGGTTAAACCTGGTGCTGAACTCCTGCGACGAGTTGGAAAACTCGTGGCACGTCGGCATACTGGAAACCTGCAATCTTCCTATGCAGATCAAACATCGCTGCTGATGACCAGACGACGAATCGGCCGCAGGTTCCGTGGCGACAAGCTCGACGCCTACAAAATTTAGAGCAAAATAAAAATTTAGTTGTTCTGCATCGTAGCCATTAGCTATTAATAACTGAGCATTAAATAATCTTGCACTGTTACATTTCTCCGGAACGGAAGCAGTGGAATGATTGAGGAGAAGCGATATGCTGAACTTGTCACGACGACGTTCGCTGAATCAATTAGCATATTTATTTTCTATCGTCAAACGAGTTCGATCATCTGAATTTATGAAAGATGACCTGATATCAAACCTTGCGAATAGAGCAACTACAGAACCTAACTATGAAAAACCACATGACACGTAACTGTAGACTATATAGCCTACGAGCTGACCTGACGCAAATGAACGAAGCGGAAGTTTAGAGCCGGTTAAGAAACCTTTTAGTACAAAAAAACATTTTCTCAGGAAATATTCAACCACATCGGGAATACGCATATAAATATATGATCAAAAAATTCGTAGCGTCAAAAAATTTAGAGTTAAATACCTTAGAAGAATTTCAGAAAATTGATGATTTCACGAAAGAACGAGGAAACGCCGTAATACTGGTTTACAGGTTAGGCTGAGTTTCTGTACGATTTCAGCCCTAGAAAGCTTAGAGAAAGATTTGTTTGCAAGACAGACAAACGTTGTTTGACTGCAACGTTGACGACAACATGAAGACTTCAACATCGGTCTTTTTATTGTGTCAATAACCACTGAATATACCACTAATCTAGGGATAATTTTACTCATGAAATGGGCACCCGTAAGAGGCGGTGAATGTGGTTTCGAGTGTAGAGTGCAGAAACTGCCATGATATGTAAAGACGATGAAAAACCTATCGGAAACTGAAGAATCCCATTAAAGGGAAGTTATCCGATGTTCGCGTGGGTCAGTCTGATTAACCTCGTATTGCGTCATTACGTCCTCTTTCAGTCAGACGAATATGTCCGTAATGAAGTGAACGAACTTTAGGCTTTTGATAAAGGAGTCTATACATATTTTGGCCATAAACACCATACCTGCAATCCATACTTTTTCTCCGTGGTGATAACTGAAACTTGGGGTGCTCATATAATGCTGACACTATTATTGATTAAAGTTTGGAACTATATAATCAGTGGTAGAAATTAAAGCCTAAAATTTACAGTTATGAATAGAGTGGTTAAAATCTGGTGTCAGTTAAAATTAGCCACTCAGTTTAAATCGAGGTATTTGTAAATTTGCACACATATAAACCGATATGTCGCCTGCAGGGCAGGAGTATCCAGACAATGCCATGGCGTGCGTAACGACACGCTTTGACGATAGAGTTTTAATATCTGGGTTGTTTCGTGCGCTCAGCAATGAATCAGCATATCATCTGCAATTGCATACCGCTAACAGTAAAAAAATTCAGTCTGTCCTCATGACAAACAAACGTAACTTACAACATATTATAAGTAAACACATTATGAATATACTTATATTCATACTTCCGATTTTGATAACAGTCACATGAGTATGAAAAACTTAAGTAGATGTAAAGAAAAAAACAAGTAGTAGGACAAAAAAATAACGGACAGCGATTCCGTTCTAAAGGAAATAATTTCAAGCGAAACGTTCTAATATCAAAACGAACGCTGCTTTACAATATACTTTCAAGTAATGCAGAGTTTCAAAGTTCGACTGCAACGGCTAACCCTGAGCCAATGAATTTCATTCGTCGTCTTGTACGGCGTCCATCATCCGCTGAGAAACCTTAATGAGACAGAAGCAATATAACTCACGACAGAAATGGGAACCGCCTCTGCCACACTTCTGTAACGGTCGTGATTCCATAGAATACTGACGCTAAGATTTGGTGGCTTAGTCTCGTCAGGTCTTTCGCTACTACAGCTTCTATGGACCTGTGGCAAATATCGAATCATTTGACTTCAATACATCCTTACTGTGCATCAATTCTTCCTTTCTCAAATTTTACTAGATGTTATTGCATATTAGTAGATTCTACTCAACACTGGTCCTTTCTAAGTTCATCTGATTCGCCGTTCGTATGACACATAACGTGCCTTGATAACTGTACTAATAAGAAATGTTCATTGACGATTGGTCTTGTTTAAGCTATACATTTAGTGACGCGGAGTTAGATCATTACAGGCTGCAATTATAAAGTACTATTTAAGGAAAAATTGCATACGCATCACATTATGCATTATATACCGTACGTCACCGTATATCATTATTCATTCTGCGTTCATTAAATAAAAAGACAAGTAAAGATACCTGCTTGTGGACAGTTCTTCGTGTACCCAGTGCAGTGTATAATGACGTAATGATTGCCACCATGGTGGAAGATCGGCCGTCGGTTTCGGAGACGCGAAAGATGATTAACACTGCCATGGTTAAGACCAATCTTCATCCTGCAAATGAACCCCCTCCGCGAACTAGTGTGAACGCGACCCATCGCTAAACGAAATAAACCGCATAAATATAACACAGTAACCAGGTAAATAAAAAGAGTTAATATTAATAATAATAATCTGGATATTCTACATCACAATGAATTTCGAAAAATCAGACAAATCCTGCTACATCTCAAACTATAAGCCTAACAATAACCGTGGTTTTAAACAACAGAGATTTTGTAAACTATCTTGTTAAAAACGCTAAACAAATTCTACTGCTAATTAGCCACAAATAAAAATATGACGTTGTAAGCCATGAAAATCAACGAATGCGCGCAGACAATAAATGCCCAGCTACCGATTAAATGGCTATATGATTTTCGTCCAGTTTTACTATCATATTGTCGTTCACTTAAAAAGCAAATGACTAAGGTACCACCTCGCACGCCGATGGAAATATAATCAGTTGTTTACTTCACTGATGATTCATTAGGCTACAAATACAAGAAGCACGTAGCATAACTAATATGCCTATTTAAATTCCTCAACTTTATACGACAAACTCTAAACTGCCTCATGGATAAGAGCTACTGAATAACATCAAACGGATAACGACGCAACCATAACCGGAGTTATTAAAACGTTTTCGGACGGAAGCATAGGCAATATTGTATTTAGCTTCAGAATGAGAGATTGATAGGTGAACTGAACGTTCCAAATGAATGATATGCCGGAACAGAAAAAATGACATTCCTCATGACAGCCAAATAGTGAGAACTGAAGATTAAGCATCGAAATCCGTACCTGATGCAACAGCATCCAATTCTTTACCGTCCTGAAAGAATGGTGACCACACTGGCTGAGACGTTCACCAGACGATGTCACTTTATAACCTTCATTATACTCATACGCCTACCTGATTTCTGGATGGTACCGAAAAGAAGAGGAAAAGTTAATACTTGGCAGGAAACTGTCAGAGCTGGCACTGAAGTTCTCCCTGAGCCGGAAGTGTACGTGCACAAACAAGTGGAAGAAGAAAGACACAGCGAAGTTGACTGTAGACTTCGTGGTGATCGACAGATGTGGAAAGAAGCGCCCTGGGACATCGTTGACGCCAGCTAGATTAATGATGATGACAGACGTACCGGGGTAACAACCAATCATGCTCATTATGAGCGAAGACCGAATATCACATATGTTAAGCAGCCTGCAGTGTTGCAAAACGACTAAAGACAGTTAGGAAAAACGTAGAGCAAGACTGTCATTCTCATATGAGTGTTTAATCTCTACGATTACACAAAACGTGATCAAGCAATGTACAACGCAGCACAGACGATGACCACTGACTCACCGTTATCGTTGTCCTTTTTCATGGTCCTGGCTAAAGACGATGTTTAAGACTTTATCCGGCGAGTAAAGAGAGAATTGCAAGTACTTTTGAAGTCCAACACGCTGCTAGACATGGTCAGATCGTAAGGCGACAACTGCTCCTTCACCTTTTCCACGTCCTCTGGATGGACAAGGTCAAAGATCGTCTGGTTCATGCACTCGGCCTGAAAATCTTAATTCGATGAAGTGCGATATGCGTCAGAGGTAGCACCTACCTCTGTTAAGTTGAGGATCGGAAACACAGAATCGGCGACGTATAACATTTTTCCCGTGTCGCAAGCTACAACGAAAAGAAATCCATTTGCGGCCTAAATGAGTTACTGATGCAATGCTATGCACAAAGCGGAAAAGAAATAAACGCATAAAATAACAAAACACATGCATGAAAGAATATATCAAGAAAGTGTTTAGCGACGACCTCAAAATAATGATGATGATTCGTGATTGCTTACATTCGCAGGAGACAAGGGCTACTCGATTCGCCTTCGATGGCCGATAAAACTTAACCTATCAGGACATGCATTAAAATTCATTAGGAGAGAAATTAGCAACGACTCTGGAGTACCGTAGAGCGTTGGATTTAAAAAATGAAACGCATCAAGAAGAAGTTATGTAGGAACACCTACCGAAAGAAAACTGGACTCCTGCAGCAATTCATTATGCAACAACATGTTAGATCACAGAGACATCAAAGAACCGCAAATATGATAAAACTATACGATTAGTTCCTGCGAAACAGACGCAAAACTAAATACCCTGAAAGAGCAGCTTGGTTAAAAAGTTATATAACAGATCATCGACAAAAACTAAGAATATGGTCAAATACCATCTAATCAATGTCATTTTCAGTTTAATTAAGCAAAGAAGATAGATTTAAGAGGCGAAACAGGAAAAAACGGCCAAAGAAGGTAGAAAATAGGCATGAACGAAAAAACACTGCCCCTGAAATGCACTGTTTACAACCTAGAAGGTCCGAGTTTGAAATCCAAAAGCTAACCTTATCGACTTCAAACAAACAGCGAACATTAATGCTGCTGCCGGCATTACCCCATGTTTACATTCGTCAACGTCGTTCAACTTAAATATTACCTCCAGGACAAGGTGCTTCAGCTCCTGATCGGTCAAGAACGAGGGACGATACGACGATCCGTCATAACGAGAACTTTCGCTGCCTAGAAAACACAATATTATTTGATATCTAATTCGCAGCTTGTCAGTCAACTACATGGTGCCTTCTACCATCTATGCTGTATATCCTTATTCCTGAAATTTCCTGATGATCATGACCGACGCCAGTTTGATCGTAACGTCGAAACTGTAATAAAGATTTCTTTTCGTTTCTCGTGCTGCTAACCATGAATACGAAGATGTAACTGGTGCAACCAATTATCAAAAAATATATATCTGTACAAGTTAGTTATAATAGTACATGCACCAAGTCCAGTCTGTACCTAATAACGATTCTCTGTCATTCAGCAGTAATAAGTGATACAACGGCGAACAAAGATTATGCTAAGCAACTGACTTCGTCTGACTGACCACTAAAGAAACAATTATGGCACCTGATAAGAATTTAAGTGATACAGCACAGCTCTTAGGGGTCTACGACGAAAGAGAGCGAAATACGGATGAACAAGTGACAGTACTTCGAATGGACTTCATGTGAGAGACGGCCATCCGTAAAACGGTCAGCTTATCTGGCTTGCGTCCGAGAGCGGCGCACTGCGGAACCATGTCCGCCAGCTCGTTGATGTAGTGCGTCATCTTGTTGCGTCGGCGTCGCTCGATCTCGCTGTGATTCTCCCTGCAATATAAAGTGAGCGATCAAAAACAATAAATTAATCTGTTACACAGATCTGTAATTAAACTGTAATTAAATTATAATTTTATAATAAGAAACAAACAAAACAATAACTTAGTAACAAAAAAAACGAAAAGCAAAGTAACAGAAGTTTACATCACGCATTGGAACTGTTTTAACTTTTGAATATAAGAAACAACAATAGATGCTTCATATACTAAA